GGCGACGCCGCCGCGGCCGCCGCGGCGCTCCGCTGCGGCGCGGCCGCGCTCCGGCGGAGCGAGGTCGCGGCGAAGAGCGCCGACGCCGCCGTCGCGGCCCTCCTCGTCGCCGCGGCGGCCCGGTTCGCCGCCAAGGACGCGCCCCCCTACCTCCGGCGCGCGGCCGGCGCGGCCGTCGTCGCGTGCCTCGCCGCGCGCGACGGCCGGAAGGTCGCCGCCGTCGACGTCGGCGACCTCGCCCCCGTCGTCGCCCTCTTCGACGACGGCGACCACGGCGCGGCGGCGCTCGAATTGGCCTGCGAGGCCTCGCGCTTCAAGGCGGCCGGCGCGGACGCGCACGCCGCGGCCGCCGACGACGGCGCGAGCGACGCCGACGCGCTCGCGGCGCTCGTCCCCGCCGCGCTCGCGACCGCGGCGCCGGCGTCGGAGGCGGGGACGCTCTACGCGCTGCTGGCGACCGCGGAGGCGCTCCGCGTCGCGCGGGACGGCGGCGACGTCGCCCGGGCGCTCGCGGTCGGCGCCGCGGCGAAGCTCGGCGCCGGCGGCCGCGTCGGCGACGCCCTCGAAGTGGCGACGAGCCTCGCGGGCCCGCACCTGCCGGCGCTGCGGCGCCGGGGCTTGGACGCGTCGAAATCCGGCCCGAACTTCCGCCTCGCGCCGTTCGCGTCGGCCCACGCGGGCGTCGACGGCGACGCGCTCCTCGGCTGCTTCGCTTTGGAGCGCCTCTGCGCGGTGCTCCCCGGCGCGGCCCGCGACTGGGCCGGCGCCTGCCGGCCGCGCGACGCCGACGCGGCGCGGCGGCTCCTCGAGGACGCGCTCCGCTGCGCCGTCGTCGACGCGGAGCTCGCGGCCGTCGCCGCCGTCTTCGGCCAATCCGGGCCGGCGCAGGCGTCGGCCCACGCCGAGAGCTCGCTCAAGGTCGCCGTCTCCCGCAGGGGCCGGTCCGTGACGAGTAGCTACACGCGGGACGAGTGCGTCATCGAGATGACGCTCAAGTACGACGCGGCCTACCCGCTCCGGGCTTTGGCCGTCGACTTCGGGAGCCACCAGGGCATCGAGGAGAAGACGGCGCGGCGCTGGGCGCTCCAGCTCCGCGCGTCCGCGTCGCTGAAGTCGACGCACGCGGCGGTGCTAGGCTGGCGCGAGAACGTGGACCTCGAGTTCGACGGCGTCGAGCCCTGCCCGATCTGCTACGGCGTGCTCCACCCCAAGTCGAAAAGGCTGCCCCACCTCGAGTGCCGCCAGTGCCACAACAAGTTCCACGCGTCCTGCCTCGCCCACTGGTTCTCCACGTCCCACAAGCACCTCTGCGTCGTCTGCCAGACGGAGTTCGTCGCCGTCAAGTCGACGAAGAAGGATCCGAAGCGCGACGCGCCGCCGCCGCCACCGGCGGCCCCCGCCGCGCCCCTCTACGACGATAACGAGCTCGACTAAGTCCCCGCGCGCGTCGCGCGCGGTCGCGCGCTCACTCGTCCTTGAGCGACGGCCGGCTGCCGAGCCGCGTGGGGTCGCGGCCGACGTCGAAATGGATGCACAGGAGCGTCACGAGGAGGACGGCGAAGCTGAACTGGACCATGGGCGAGAAGATCGTCGTGATGGTCTTCTTGACGTCTTCGACGAGTTCCTCGACGACCTGCTCCTTCGTCACGGGCTTCGCCGCCGCCGCGACCGTGGCACACATCAGCGCCAGGGACAGGAGTCGCCGGGCGGCCGGCATCGCGCCGGAGCAGCCACTCGGTGGCTGCGGCGCGGGGCAGGCCCGTCGAAGTTCTTCGGGCCTTCAACGAAATTTATTTGCACCGATGGTTGTTTACGCGAGGAGCTCCTCGGCGGCGTCGAGCGTCAGGCCCTTGGCCAGGTCGTGGACGGGCATGACGGCGAAGGGCTGCTCGATCTGGATGCCGATCTCGTCGATGCCGAGCATGAGGTAGGACACGGCGCAGACGACGGCCGCGAGCTTCGCGGGCGTCGTGCACCCCGCCTTGAGCAGGCCGCAGGGCAGCGCGATGAGCCACAGGAGCAGGCCCCGCTGGTAGTGGCGCATGTACATGGGCGCGAGAGGCGTCGACACGACGCGTTCGATGCCGCCGTAGAGCCGGCCGAGCGCGGCGACGTCCGCGTGTACGCTTCTCTCCACGTGCGCGCCCTTGAACGGCAACGCGATGGTCTCCCGCCGCAGGAGCGCGAGCGCCGCAAGCGCGGGCTTGCGCGCGGCCGCGACGCGGTCCGCGTCCTCGGCCGGCAGGAGCGCGCTCAGGACCGGTCCGAGCGTCTCGCGGTCGTCCAGGGCCGCGAAGACCTTCGCCGCCCAGGCGTAGGCGACGAGGTACCGGCAGATGCGCGCGCGCGCCGCCGGCGAGGCCTCGTCGGGCGCCGTCGCCGCGATCGTCCCCGCGAGGTTCCGCGCCGAGTGGATCATCGCGCCCCACGTCTCGCGCGCCGCGTGGAATCGCGCCACGCAGCTGTTCACGCGGAACGCGAGCAGGAGCGTGATGGGCGACGCCAGCAGGCCGAGGCCGTTGGCCGTGACCGTGAGCCGCTTCCACCAGACGACGTAGGACCAGGCCGCGAGCATCGCGAGCGTCGGCGCCAGGCCGCGCGCGAGGCGGCTCCCGGGCCACTGGAGCAGCACGCGGAAATAGCGGTCGCGCGCCGTGTGCTGCTCCCACTGCTCCACGCCCCAGAGCACGGCGTGCGTCGCCTCGTGCGCTTCGCGCGTGTAGCGCGCGCGCCGCGGGCCGGCCTGCGTCGCCTCCAGGCTCCAGAGGCCGTCGATGGCCGCCGCCGCCGCCGCCGCGTCGCCGCCGGCGCGCAGCTGCTGCGTCCGCCGGCGCGCGAGCTGCGTCCGCCGGCGCGCGACGGGAAGCGGCGCATTGAGCGCGGTCGTTGTCGCGGCGAGCGCTGCGGTAATAAGGGCCGCTCGCATGCCTCCGCGGAGCCCGGGCCCCGTCTCGATCGGAACTTGACCTTCAAGTTGAATCGCGGCACTGCGCGCGCCCGCCCGTCGCGGATTTCTCGAGGCAGAAGGGGCCCGGCACGCCGATTGGCGTGCACCGCGCGCCCTTGGCGACGACGTGGTAGGAGAACGCGTACTCGGAGTAGAAGCTGCCCGCGGCGCCCGGGCGGTTCATGTTCATCCAGGGGACGTTGTGGACGACGTGGTTCGGGCGCGGCGCGCGCTTGCACGACTCGAAGGCGCTGGCTCCGGGGACGACGAGCCGCCCGAACTCGGCGTCGTAGCGTTTCCAGTCGCTCGGGCCGGTCGCGGCGCAGTAGCGCGTCTTCGCGAGGCGAAAAAAGTCGCCGAAGAGGCGGTCGAGGTCGGCGCCCGCGACGTAGAAGAAGTTGTCCGTCAGGCATCGCACGACGCCGGGCGACGCCGCGAGCGCGGCGTAGGAGAACGTCGCGGGCGTCGCGAGGTCCGACCGCGTGCGCACGACGGTGCCGAAGGCCGCGAGCTCCGGTCCCCAGCGCCGGAGCGCCCGGTCGAGCGCGAACCACTGCCAGCACGAGCCGCGGCGGTCGTCGAAGGTGCAGCAGCCCGAGGTCTCGCGCGCGCGCGCGACGTCCTCCGCGCCCGCGAGGAGCACGCGGCGCCGCGGCGCGAGCTCGGACGCGATCGGGCCGTAGTCCGCGTAGGAGCTCACGAAGACGCTGGCGTTGGCGCAGCGCGCGCGGACGGCCCGCACGCCGTCGCGATCCAGGCGCAGCTGGCCCGTGAGCAACACGGCCACACCGCCGCCCAGGGAGCATGGGACGACCAGGCTCAGGAGCGCGAGCAGGCGCATGACGGGCAGCCCATCATCGACACCAGTACGCCGCGATGCTCGCAGGCGGTCTCGGATCGAATCATCGCGTCGACGATCGCACGCGAGCGGAACCGCGGTGCTCGCACGAGATCATGCGCCGGGGCTCCCGAGATCCGTTCGAGAGCTCGTTTACGGCAGCATCGTCTTGGCAAAACTTCCGTCGACCGGGCAGCCATAGACATGCGCCGCCTCCAGCTCCTCGTGCTCGGGGCGCTCGCGCTCGCGCAGCGCGGCGTTTCCGCGGGCCGGAGCCGCCACCTCCTCGCGTCGAACAGCAGCGGCTACGACGACGACGACCACGACGACCACGGCGACGACCACCATGGCGACGACGACCACGGCGGCGGCCACGGGTGCCACGACTCCCACGCGGGCCACCACGGCAAGTACGCCCACTTCAAGGGCATGCTGCGCTGCTTCGGCTTCGCGCTGTCCGTCTGGACGTCCGGGAAGCTCGCGGCGGGCCTCGGCATCCCGTCGCTCGTCGGCGAGATCATCTGCGGCATCATCATCGGCCCGCACGTGCTCGAGATCATCAACCACACCTACGACCCGACGGCGTCGGTCCTGATCCTCGTCGGCGAGGTCGGCCTGTGCATGCACGCCATCGAGGCGGGCCTCATGTTCGACCCGGAGATGATGGAGGTCGTCGGGCCCCGGGGCCTCGCGGTCGGGATCGCGGGCTCGGGCCTGCCCCTGGCCCTGTCCTACGCCATCGCGCGCGGCTGGGGCGCGAGCGCGGACGAGGCCTTCGTCGTGGGCGCGTCCATGGCCACCATGTCCGCGGGCATCACGCTGAACGTGCTCCGGACCGGCGGCGTGCTGAACCAGCCCATCGGCCAGCTCCTGTGTGGAAATCAAATCTTCAACCCGACTTCAATGTGCGCGTAATTGAACGGATTGCGCCGTGCTCTTCGAATGTGCTTCGAGAACTCGACGAGAGCAATCGATTCGTCCAAAAATCAGCCGAATCGACTTCGATTTGATCGAGATAGAGAGTTCTGAAGTTTGGTGGGGACCCCCCAAACCAGTGGTTGATTTCCACACAGGCCAGCTCGTCATCTCCGCGGCGACGGTCAACGAGATCATGAACATCATCCTGTACACGGAGGTGTCGAACCTCGTCTACGGCGTGCCCGACGAGCCCTTCGGGGGCTGGTTCTGGTACGCGCTCCCCGTGGTGACGAACTTTGTGACCGTCGGCGTCATCGGCGCCGCGGGCGTCTACGTCGTGCCCCACGTCATCGAGGCGCGCGTGACGCCCATGATCCCCGAGGAGTACCGCCAGAACTTTCTGCTGGGCCTGCTCTTCGTGCTGGCGCTGGGCCTCATGTGCGCGTGCAAGTTCTCCGGATCGTCGGAGCTTTTGGGCGCGCTGCTCGCGGGCGTGTCCCTCTGCACGAACCACGACGTGCACCACGCCTGGGACAAGCAGGTGAAGCGCGTCTACGCCTTCCTCATGAAGATCTTCTTCGCGGCGACGGTCGGCTTCCACGTGCCTTTGGCGGAGCTCTTCCAGACGGGCACGCTCGCCAAGGCCGCGCTGCTCCTGCCCGTGATCCTCGCGAAGCTCGCCATGGGCTTCTTCGCCAAGCCGTTGACGAAGCTGAACTTTTGGACGCTGGCCTTCGCCTGGGGCGAGTGGGGCGAGTTCTCGTTCCTCATCACGACGCTCGCGCTCCGATCCAAGGGCAAGGGCATCCTGCACCAGCAGGCCTACGACGCCGTGCTGTTCGTCGTCCTGTTGTCCATCTTGCTCTGCCCCTACGGGTTGCGCGTCACGCTCGACTACGTCGAGCAGCACGCAGGGCAGCACAAGAGTGCGAAATTCCCAACTTCAAAGGCTCCTAGCTCGGCCGTTTTCCGCTCGTTTCGGCTGATTTTTGGACGAGCGATCATCTCTCGGAGCGCTCTCGAAGCGTGGATGTGTTTTCCGGAACGCGCGCGCGCGAAACACTCACGTTGAAGCGACGTTGAATCACCCTTGTGCTGCCCAGGCAGCACGCGGCGCTCGACATCGCGGAGGCGATCCTCGACACCGCGGGCGCGGACGGCGAGGCCGCGCCGGCCTACTACTGCATCCAGACGCTATCAAAAGCGCGCTGGGACCAGCAGACGGCGATCCTCTCGACGGTCACGTCCTCGGACTGCGACATCGTCGACGTGCGCTCCTGGCACCCGAAAGATCACGTCGGCGCCGCGCACGTCGTCACGGAGCTCTACGTCAAGGACACGTCGCTGTGCCTCCCGGTCGTGGCGACGCTCGCCGACGACGACCAGGCCAAGCTCGACGCCCGCGTCGAGCTGCTCCACGACCGGGTGCTCGCGGCGCTCCACGACAGCACGGGCGAGGTCCGGATCCAGCGCTGGCTCCCCGGCGCGCGGCAGAACGACGAGGGCGAGCTGTCGCCGACGGCGTCGGCCCAGGAGCTGCTCCGGGAGACCCGGGACGCGCGCGCGTTCACCGCCCCCGTGACGGCGGACGAGGACGTCGAGGCCGACGCGCGCGGCCACCAGCGCGTGTCGCTCCAGGCGCAGCTCGGGTTCACGCGGCCGACGCACCCGCCGCCCGGCGGCGGCGGCGGCGACGCCGCGGCGCCGCCCGCCGCGCCGCTCCGCCAGCGCACGCACAAGCGCCAGCGCGCCAAGTCCATGATCGCGTCGCTCGAGTCGACGTGCTGCTACCGCGACCCGCGCGACTACCACGAGCTCGACGGCTTCATCCACACGGACGCGCACGTCGCCTTCGAGGAGCAGCTCGCCCCCTACCACCAGGTGCGGCGCCAGTCGTCGTCCATGGACGCCGAGGCGCTGCGCCTCATCGAGGTCCCCGTGTCGCCCTTCCGGCCGCGCGCCGCGCCGCGGCCGAGCCTCATGCGCGCGCTCTCCGAGCGCAGCGACGCGCCGCCGGAGCCGCCGGAGCCCCTCGTCAAGCAGTCGTCGTCGCCGTCGGCGCTCGGCGCGGCCGCCGCCGCCGCGGCGCCGCCGCCGCCGGGCCTCGCCGCCGCGGACGGCGGCTTCGAGACCGCCGCCGCGCCCTACTCGCGCCTCTCGTCCATCGAGAGCGACGGCGGCTCCGCGCGCCGCTCCTCCTTCTCCTCGGAGCAGGGCTGCGTGCTCCCGACGCGGCTCCGCCGCCGCTCGTCCTCGGGCAAGAACGTCGAGCTCCAGGACCGCGCGTGAGAACGCGCCCTCCTTAGCGGCGTGCGTTACCACGTCCTAAGCGACGGGGGGGGCGAGCAGTCCCCTTAGCAGCCTCCTAAGCGACGGCCGCGCCGATGGGGGGCGAGCAGTCCCCTTAGCAGCCTCCTAAGCGACGGCCGCGCCGACGGGGTAGCTCGCGTCGAAGAGGACGCCGCAGGTGCCGCAGACGTGCTGCGTCGCGTTGCCGCCTTTGCAGCCCGTGCCGTCCAGCGGCGTCGTGTCCGTGCCGCATGCGCTCGTACGCGCAAGGCGGATGAATCCGTCCTCGCCCCAGGTGGTATCCCAGCTGTTGCGGATCAGCAGGTAGTCGGCGCCGAAACCCACGAGCTGCACGACGTGGTCGATATCAATATCGTCCTTCTTCTCCGCCGTGTAGATGCCGCTCTCGTAGTCGTGCCAGCCGCCCGCGTCGACGTTGACGGCCAGCGGGCCCTTGGACACGAGGGCCGCGAGCACCGCGGCCTCGTCGTTCGAAGCGACGCGCTCGTATCCCGATACCGTCACGGCCTTCGGGATGGGCGAGCTCGCGTTGTAGCGGCACGACCCCGACTTGCCGTCGAGGCCCGCCGTGTAGGGATAGGTCCACTCGGTAGCCATGCCGTGCGTCTGCACGTATTCGAACGCTAATTCAGCGATGGAGCCGCCGCAGCCGCCCGTGCCGCCGCAGTCGTAGACGTTCGCCGCGCAGGAGACCAAATGCTGCGGCGCCAGTTCCACGAGCTCGCCCGTGTTGAGCGCGACGTGCGATTCGATCGTCTCCGTGGACGCGAAGGCCCAGCACGAGCCGCATTGCCCCTGGTCCTTGACGGCCGTTAGCACGCTCGGGCGGCGGTCGCGCCAGTCGAACGTCGTCGGGAGAGCGGCGAGAGGCGCCGGCGCGGCGAGGGCCGCGCGCGGCCGCGAAGCCGCGAGCGCCTTGTCGCGTCCGTTGAGCGCCCGGCGCTCGTCGTCCGTGCGGTCGGTCAGCGCGTTGACGCCCTTCTTGTAGGTGGAGGGGTTTGTGTTGTGTTCGAGGATGGATTTCAGTCGAGCTTCGAAGATGACGCGGCGCTCGTCGTCTTCCTGGGGCGCATAGCTCTTGCCAAAGTCGGCTTTGTATTGCTCGAAGGTGTACTCCTCCGACAGCTCGTGCCAGCGCGGACGGGCCGCGGCAGCGGTGAAGAGGACGAGGAGGAGGCGCATGGTGGCGGCCAAGGCAGCCCGACGCCGACGATGCTATGCAGCGTGCCGTGATCGCTGACCCTGCAGCAGGCAGAGTTTTGAACGAGGATAGACGCCGCATCGGAGGGGCGCCATAGACGCCGCATCGGAGGGGCGCCAGCGGTGCCGTGACGCTCTCAAGCTCGAGATCCGAGACGATGGGCACGGCGGCGACGGAGAGCGACGCCTACGACGCGCGCTACGCGCACTGCGTCGCCGCCGTCGGCGGCCCGGAGGTCTTCGCCAAGGTCCGGCGGTGCAAGGTGCTCGTCGTCGGCGCCGGCGGCATCGGCTGCGAGCTGCTGAAGAACCTCGTGCTCGTGGGCTTCGAGAGCCTCGTCACGGTGGACCTCGACACCATCGACGTGTCGAACCTGAACCGCCAGTTCCTCTTCCGCAAGCGGCACGTGGGCATGGCCAAGGCCGTCGTCGCGCGCGAGGCCGTCGTCGCGTTCAACCCGCTCTGCTCCGTCGAGGCGCTCCACGCGAACATCAAGGAGCCGCGCTTCGGCCTGGCCTGGTTCGGCGGCTTCGACGTCGTCGTCAACGCGCTCGACAACGTCGACGCGCGGCGCCACGTGAACCGCATGTGCCTCGCGAGCGACGTGCCGCTCATCGAGGCCGGCACGACGGGCTTCCTCGGCCAGGTCTTCGTGATCCGCAAGGGCGAGACGGCCTGCTACGAGTGCTTCCCCAAGGCCACCAAAAAAGTCTACCCGATCTGCACGATCCGGTCGACGCCGTCCGAGCCCGTGCACTGCGTCGTCTGGGCCAAGGAGCTCTTCAAGCTCCTCTTCGGCGACGCCAAGGAGTCCATGCTCTTCGAGGGCGGCGACGACGGCCCCGACGCGTCGACCTACGGCGCGGCCTGCGCCGCCGTGCGCGGCGCGCCCGACGCGGAGAAGGCGCTCGGCGCCGCGCTCGCCTTACTCTGCGACGGCGAGGTCCGGAAGCAGCTCAGCATGGACAAGTACAAGACGGCGAAGAAGACGCCCGACCCCCTCGACGGCGCCGCCGTCGCCGCGGCCTGCGTCGCGGCGCGCGCGCCGTCGCGGAACCGGACGAGCGCCGACTGGGACCGCGCGACGTGGACCGTCGACGAGTGCTGCGCGGAGCTCGCGGACGTCGCGGCGACGCTCGCCGGCGGCGACCGCGTCGGGTCCTGGGAGTTCGACAAGGACGAGCCCGACGCCATGCGCTTCGTCGCCGCCGCCGCGAACCTGCGGTCCCGCATCTTCCACATCGCGCCCAAGAGCCTCTACGAGGCCAAGGGCATCGCGGGCAACATCATCCCGGCGATCGCGACGACGAACGCCGTCGTCGCGGGCCTCCAGGTCGCCGAGCTGCTCAAGCTGATCCGCGCGGGCTGCGTGCTCGGCGACGGCGGCGACCGGCCGAGCGTCGGTTCGGTGTGCAAGTACACGTACTGCCTCCGCGACACGACGCGCAGGGGCCTGCTGCTCCAGCCGACGCGCCTCGAGGAGCCCCAGGCGACCTGCTACGTCTGCCGCAAGGGCAAGGTCGCCGTCGCGCTCGACACGACGACGACGACGCTCCGGACCTTCGTCGACGTCGTGCTCAAGCGCAAGCTCGGCTTCGTGGACCCGTCCGTCGACAAGGACGGCTCGGGCCTCTTCGAGTCCGAGGACGAGCGCCTCGCGGCGAACTTGGACAAGGTCCTCGCGGACCTGCCCGCGGGCGGCCTCGGCGACAACGCCATCGCCGAGGTCGCCGACTTCGCGTCCACGGGCCTCGAGCTCGACGTGACCATCAAGCACAAGCCCGAGGCCGACTTCGACGAGAAGGCGAACCCCGAGAAGGTGCTCGTCCTCACGGGCGCGGACGCGACCGCGGACCCGCTGCGGGAGGCCGCGGCGCAGCTCGCGGCGGACAAGCCCCCGCCGCCGCCGGCGAGCGAGAAGCGCGCGGCCGACGACGACGCCGCGCCCCCGGCGAAGCGCGCGCGCGTCTAGGGCGCGTGTAAAGAGACCGCGCGGACCGCGGTTTGCTCGCCGAGCGCGGCCGCGAGCCCGGCGGCCGCGGTCGCGGAGAAGTGGCGCGGCTGGCCGGCCCTGCGGTGCCCGTCGCCGAGGCGCGGCACCTTGAGCGCGACTTCTCCGCCGCCGCCGTCGTCCTCCGTCGCGGCCGCGGCGACCCAGCCCGTTCGGGGCGCCGCGCGCACGGGCGCGTCGCGAAAGGGCAGCGCGTACTCCGGCTCGAGCTCGACGTCGCGGGGCGGCGCGTCCCAGGTGTTGAAGAGCACGACGCTCCGCCGGTGCGCGGCCGTCGAGGGCGCGGCGGTGACGAAGGACCGGAGCCAGACGTCCGCGGGCCGCGGCACCGCGTGGACGAGGTCGCCGGCGAAGCGGACGACGCGGCCCGCGACGGCCGGCGCGGACGTGAGCACGTCCCCGCGCCTGCCGAAGACGACCGTGGGCCCGGCGACCTCGGCGCCGACCTGCACGCCCAGGACGTGGCCGTGCGTCGGGTAGCGCAGCTCGCCGCCGGCCTTCGCCTCGGCCTCGTCGACGTCCGCGTGCGCCTCGATGTGTTTCCAGACGTCGCGCGCCCAGTACTCGACGAAGCGGCTCTCGTCGCCGAGCTCGCCGAGGAACGAGTCCAGCGCGGCCTCCAGGATCGTGCCGACGCCGGCGGACCGATCGAAGGCCCGGTGAGCCGCGGCGTTCGACGCGACGTCGAGCGCCTCGAGGTCCCGGGGGGCGAAGACGCCGTCGTAGACCCGCACCTCGTCGTCGACGGCGCGGCGCTGGAGGTGCGCTTTGGCGCTGGGAGGAGGGAGGAAGCCGTGCGCTGTGGCTGCGAAGACGACGACGAGGAGGCGGCGATGATGCTGGAACATCGCGGCGACGTTTCCGCGGCGTACGAGTGCTCCTCCGGCGCTGCGGCGTACGAGTGCTCCTCCGGCGCCGCGGCGACGAGTGCTCCTCCGCGAGCGTGGTCGCTTTCGAGCGCTGCCTCGCTACCAACTACGCTTCATGCCGCAGTCATTGGCCGCAGTCAAGAAGTGCAACTTTATACACACCACCTCAAATTGAAGCTCAACTTATGGCACACCATGATGCCGTTACGCCTGCTGGCTCTTCTCGCGGTTGAGCTTGCGCGGCGGGGAGATGCCGAAGCAGGCGGCCGAGACCTCGGGCTTGAGGACGTGGGCGAGGAGCTCCGCGAGGCCGAGCGAGAGGCCGAGCACGAGGACCGCGCGGAGCGCGGTGGACTCCGGGCCGAAGGTCTCGCGGTCGAGGAAGAAGCCGTGGTAGAGGTAGATGGCGTAGGAGCAGCGGCTCAGCTCCTCGACGCCCTTGGCGCCGAGGGACGCGAGCAGCGCCGCGGCGCTCTCGTCGGCCGCCGGCGGCGGCGCCGCCTTCGCGGGCGCGCACCGCGGCTCCTCGGCGTCGCCCGCGGCCTCGGCGCCCGCGGCCCGCGCGTCGTCGGGCGCGGCGCGCGCGGCGCCGAAGAGGGCGCAGGCCGTCGGCACGGCCGCGAGGTACACGTCCTTCGCGGGGAGGCTCAGCCCCAGCAGCGGGCTGCCCGCGCCGAAGACGACGAGCACGAGCGTCGCGCCGAGGGACGCGCCCGCCAGCGCGCCGACGTAGGCCGCGGCCTTGACGCAGGCGGCGCGCCGGTTCGCCGAGTAGGCGATCTTCTCCGCCGCGGGCGACTGCGCGCCGCCCTCGACGACGACCTGCGCGGATTCCACCCGACTTCGAAGGATCTTTGGCCATGCTTCGAGAGCTCCAAAAGAGCATTCGACTCGTCCAAAAATCAGCTAAAACGGCGTCGATGTGACCGAGCGAGAGCGTTGGCGGGGACTCGACGCCGACGGCGACGTGGCGGCAGAAGAAGCCCAGGAGGAAGAAGCCCGCCCACATGAACGGCAGGCGCATGACGACGTTGATCGACGCGACCTTGCGGCCCAGGATCGCCTACGTGCGCGCCGTCTCGCGAGAACGCCGCCGCGGGCGCCGCGCGCGCACGTCGAACGCGAGGCCTCGGAGCGGGTGGACGACCGTGAGCGCGAGGGCCAGGCGCGACACGCCCCGGTCGCCGACGCCCCCGAGGGCCGCGGCGAGCACGTGGAGCTGCACGAGGACGACGACGAAGTAGAAGTGGCCGAAGCCCGTGCCCGTCGCGAGCTCGAACAACAACCGCGGCGCGCCCGGCGGGCTGCGGTCGTGCTGGAACTTGTGCTCGAGGGCGCCCAATTTCTCGTGGAGGAGGCAGTCCGGCGACCAGTGCGCGCTCATGTTCGTCAGGCGCAGGTTGAAGAGGAGCGTCTCCCACCACGCGCGCCGGAGCCGCTCGTACGCGACGTTCAGCGCCCAGCGCAGCACCGTGACGACGCCGTAGGGCACGAGGATGCGCCGCAGGCGCCTGCCGAGGCCGCTGCGCGGCTGCCGCGGCAGCAGGAACCCGGCGATGAAGAAGAAGCTCGGCGCCGCGAAGTCGAGCCCCTGGCGCGCCATCTCCTCGAAGGCGCCCGCCGCCGCCCGGTCCTTGTGGAAGAAGGGCTGGAGGCAGTGCAGCGTCACCACCGCCGCCGTCGCCACGGCCCGCAGGACGTGCAGCCCCGGGTTGAACATGGGGTCGTCTCAGTAGGAAGCTACGGGCTGCCCATCGTCTTGTCGAGCATGTTTGACCCGGGTCGAACCTGTGCGGGTTTTCCGGCAGCCCTTGATAAGGTAGATCGAGGTGTCGACTGCTGACCCGGGTCAGCCCGGGCTCCAATTCGAGGGATCGATTGGGGGAGGGGAACGATTCCTCGATACAGACATCACATCCTATCATACTCCAACACACTGCCACTGCGCAAGCCTGCGAGTGGGCCATAACCCAGACACGGTGCCGAGCTGCTACGCTCCCGTACACAGAAAAAACCGAGCAAGGTTCCACCCGAGCGCGCATCGCTCGGCCGTGGTTTTTCTTTTTTTTCTTACGCCTCCCTCTCCCTCTCCCGAAGCATCTCCACCGCGCGGTGTCCGGTCCCGGCCGCGCGCCGCCGGCCCGCCGCAGCGCGGGACCGGACGGCGGCGCGGACGACGGCGAAGTGCAGGTGCCCGGCGTCGCGCAGCAGCAGCGCTGCGTCGACGGCCCCACGGTGGTCGTTTTCCAGGCGCCGGAGGCGCGCCTCGAGCTCCGCCGCCGCCGCCGTCGCGACCGCCGCGGCCTTGGCCGACCGCGCGGCCGCCGACCGCGCGCCGGCGAGGTCGCGTTCGAGCTCCGCGGCGGCCTTCGCGGCCTCGGCGCGCGTCGACGCGTGCGCCGCCCGCTCCCGGAGGAGGCGGTCCTCCGCGCCGTCGGGTTCCGAGGACGCGCTCCGACGCCGCGGCGACGGCCGCCAGCTCCGGGAGCCCGCGGGACGGCGCGGCACCGGCGGCTCGTCAGCGGGGAAGCCGCGGCACGCCGGCGCGTCGTCGCCCGCGGGCGGCGTGACCGCCGCGACCAGCGGCGTTGCGACTTTCGGCAGCACGATAAAATGGCGCCTCGCGGGCGACGGCGGCGCGCTCTTCGCCTGCCGCGGCCGCCGCGGCATGAGGAAGTTGGTGAGCGAGAAGCGAGCGAGCGTCTCGTTGATGCTCCGCGAGAGCGGCCGCAGCCGAAATTCCTTCGAGCATCTCATCGTGCCTTCCTTCACTGTAGCGGCACTCCCACGAGGTCGACATTGACTTTAATGGCAGCGCATGGACGCAGCCTGTAGCTCCTCCTCGGCGCTGAGACCATCACCACGAACATCTCTCATCATCTTCGGTAGAGGCAAAACATGGCTGCCGCTCTGTGGCTCCTCGTCGCCTGCGCCTCGGCGCTGAGACCATCACCGCTCAAACCTCTCATCATCTTCGGCCGGCCCGGCGCGGGCAAGACGACCATCGCCGACGCGCTCCTAAAGCTAGCCGACGCGGAGAACGCCCAGGGCGTCGACCTCGACGTGTGCGTCCCGCAGTGGATGCGCGACAACTTCGCGCGAGGCATCTACCCGTCGCTCGACGAGCGGCGGACCTTCGCCGCCGCCGCCGCGGACCACCTCGACGCCGAGGCCACCTCGAAGGGCCGCTGCGTCGTCAGCTTCTCGTTCGTCAACGACGACCTCCGCGACTACTTTCGCGACCGGTTCCCGAAGGCGGACTGGGTCCTCGTCGACACGAGCGAGGACGCCGCGGCGGAGCGCATCGCGCTGCGCGAGGGCCACTTCTACAAGGGCCCGACGGCCGCGGAGCCGGACCGCGGGTCCGAGTGGGCGTTCGCGCCCGTGGCCTTTGACCACGTCCGCCTCGACGGCCGCCGCCCCGTCGAGGACAACGTCCGCGCGCTCGCGCCCTTTTTAACATCACATTAGACATCCACAAAATGGCGCCGCAGCCAGGCGGCGATGAGCGCGATGGCCGCGTCGGCCTCCTCGAGGACGGCGCCGCCGCCGACGGCGCGGCAGTCGCGGTAGAGCGGCCAGTCGTGCCACATGCGCTCGAAGACGGCGACGTCGACGGCGACGCCGTCGCGCGCCGCGCGCGCCGCGAGCGCGAGCGTGTCGTCGAGGAGCACCTCGGCGTCGCCGACGAGGAGCAGCGACCGCGGCAGCCGCTTCAGCGACGGCGCGAAGCGCGGCGACAGGCGGCCGTCGCGGAGCGTCTCCAGCAGCTCCGCGTCGCCGACGGGCGCGCGGCGCCAGCAGCACCAGGTCCGGCGCCGCGGCAGGGACCGCAGCACCCGCTCCACGTCGTCCTCGCGCGCGTCGCCGTCGCCGTCGACGCGGCCGAGGTACACGAGGCCGTCGCGGATCGTCGACCGCCGCTCCTCGTCGGGCCCGTCGCGGAAGATGGGGTCGCCTCCGCCGCCGCGGAAGCGGCGCGTCGCGTAGGAGCGGCCCGAGGCCGTGAGGTCGAAGAGGCCCGAGAGCGCCGCGAGCCCCGCGGCGCCGCCCTCGAGCGCGAGCGCGGCCGCGAGCCCCGCGCCCGCGCTGTCGCCGAACAGAACGACGCGGCCCGCCCGGTCCCGCGCGGCCGCGAGGGCCGCCCGCGCGTCGTCCAGCGCCGCGGGGAAGGGGTGCGCCGGCGCGAGGCGGTAGCGCGCGGAGAGCACGGCGACGCGCGACGCGGCGGCTATCCTCGACGCGAGCGCCCGATACCACGGATCGTCGGGCGCGTAGGCGCTGTAGCTCCCGCCGTGGAGGAAGAGGACGACGACGGACGGCGCCGGGTCCGGCGGCAGGGACCAGAAGCCCGCCGCGCAGGGCTCGAAGGCGACGCCGGCGTCGGGCACGCGATCCAGGAACGCCTCGTCGAAGTCGCGGAGCGCCTGGCGAGGGAACGAATGATGGGTGTTTTCTCGCCAGGGAACAATAAATGATTTTTTTGGGGGGGGGTGGTATGGAGGGTCAGGTTGGATTTCGTCGCCCCTTGCGTAACAAGGAGGTGTCGGGGCGCTGTCTCCCACGTGCGGCCGCCCCATCGCTGGAGCGGCCGACTGAATTGGAGCCGCTTGCAACTCATCATTAGTAAAAACCAGGAGGTTTCATATACCAAAGGCAGTTTAACGTCGTGCCCGGGACGGTCGAACGTGTGTGTTTCCGGGACGCCGGCGGACGCGCGGCGACGTGCGCGTCCAGCAACGCGCGCGGCGACGTCGACGCGACGCGCATGTCACCGTTTCTTCCGATCACGCGTGCGCTCCTTGGCCTGGTACTCGCCGACGTGCTCCTCGACGATGGGCTTCGACTCCTCCGCGTCGAGGAACCGGTACTCCGCCGCGTCGTCGCGGGAGCCAAAGGTCCAGTAGAGCGTGTAGGCGAAGGCGCCGACGAGGAGCCAGGGCTTGGCGCCGAGCTTGAAGCACGTGAAGCAGAAGACGCCGCCGACGATGAGCTTGCCGCGGCGCGTCGGCCCGCCCCGTCGCACGGCGACGAGGTCCTCGCGCTTGGCGGCCTTGGCCGCGGCCATGAGCGAGTGGCCAGCGAGTGGTGCTCGTTTTGCCTCAACCTTTCCTCAACCAGACGTTGTTGCAGTCCCCGCTCAAACGAAGAAGGCTGCCCCGACGTTATCGCGTCGTCGCGGGAGCCAAAGGTCCAGTAGAGCGTGTCGTTGTCGTTGCTGCCCCCCGCGCAAACGTACAAGGCTGCCCCGACGTGATGGCGTTCATGGGCCGGAGCGAGGCGAACTCGTTCAAGATCGACGCCCCGGACTTCCACGCGCTGGCGTCGAACCAGGAGCGGTGCGTGAAGAACGGCTACCTCGTGAAGCAGGGCCAGTTCAACACGGCGAGCTGGAAGAAGCGCTGGTTCGAACTCGCGGAGCACTGGCCCCTGCTCTACTACTTCGACAGCGACGACGGCGGCAAGGCGCTGGGGGTGATCGTGCTGAAGGCGGCGACCTACGAGCTCGCGGCGGCGGGGGACGTCGTCGGCGTCGACGCCGCGAAGCGCGCCTTCGACAAGGACGCGGCGCCCGCGCCCATCCTCGTCAAGACCGTGAGCGGCATCGCCTACCGGCTCCTCGCGTCGACCGCCGACGAGGCCCGGGCCTGGCTCGACGCCTTCGACCGCAGCGCCAAGGCCCACGACGACGGCGTCCAGCGGCAGCTCAACGACGTCCTCGAGCACAACCGGCGCATCAACCTGCACGTCGAGCACCTCGCGGACGAGAACGCGAAGATCCTCGACGAGCTCAACGTGACGCGCGCGCGGCTGAGGCACCGGGACCGCGGCGGGAGCGTCGGGGACGCGCCCGACGAGGGCCTCTTCTGCTCCTGGCCGACGCTCGCGTGCTTCGACGCGCCCCAGGCGCTGTGGAACCCGAAGGCGGAGGAGGAGGACGCGTCGAAGCAGTAATCTTACTACTCGTCCCTCGGTACGGCGTCGGTGTTGAAGAAGATGGGCGTCCATCGCCCCTCGTCCTCCATGTTCGTCGAGTCGATCGGCGACCAGCCCAATTTCGCGCCGAGCGCCAGCACGCGCTTCCGCTGCGCCATGCTCCCGTTGATGCAGTTCTTCTCCGTGCACCAGGGCGGCGTGAGGCCCTTGCGCCGCGCGGCCGCGCGGAAGGTGGCGACGTCGTCCCTCAGGAGCAGCTCGACGTCGTCGCCGTCGGGGCAGCTCGCGACGACGTAGGTCGCGGCGTCGCCGCGGACGGCGCAGCCGGCCTCGCGCAGCGCGCCGACGGCGCCGCGGTACGCGGCCGCGCGGCCGCCGGCGCCAAGGGCCAGCGGCGCCTGGAAGTGGTTCGGGCTCTCGGTCCCGGCGGAGGAGATGCAGTCGCTCTCGCCGCGGCAGGGCTTCAGCGCCTTTGGCGCGGGCAGCGACGCGTCCGCATTCGGCAGCGCGTTCGGTGGCAGCGCATTTGGCGGCAGCACGTCCGGCGACACGGATGCGAGCGCCAGCGCGATCGATGCAAAGCCGCCGAGGAGCATGGCTCAGAGTCGCGCACAGGGCCTCAACACCGATTGCGACGCCATAACTCGTCGAGAGGTAAACTTATGACTGCTTGAAGTTCAATAGCAGTATAAAGGCCGCAGCCCATTTGCGGCACTGTACTTCACTGTGCTGCAGCCTCTCGTATTCTGATGGTCATGCGGCGCGGGCTCGCGATGCTGGCCTTCTGCGCATCAACGCTGGCCTTCGCGCCGGTGCATCGTCAGCCATCGATGTCCACGCTCGGCGCGTCCATGAACGTCAACGACATCGTCGACAAGGCCTACGAAGGGAAGAGCTTCGCGGAGCTCGCGGCGTCGCCGGTGTCGGCGCTGCAGGGGATGGCCGACTGGACCGACGCCGTGGGGGCGGACCTGAAGATCCCGACCGTCGGGCAGCTGGGTCGCTGGAAGTATTTCCTCTGGGCGCGCGCGTTCGCGGACCTGGCCGAGCACGAGATGCCGGACCGCCGCGTCGACGGCTCGACGCTCAACGCGAACAAGGCCCTGGACGAGGCGCACGAGGGCAAGACGATCAAGGAGATCCTCGCGCTGCCGCCGTCCGCGCTCCAGGGCATCGCGGAGCATTCGGACGCGGACCTCGCCAAATTCAAGGTGCGGACGGTCGCGGACCTCGGCGCCTGGAAGTTCGCCATCGCCGCGAGCGCCATCGCGACGCTCGCCGAAGTGGAGTCCGGCGACCTCGGCGAGCACCGGTGAGCGCCGGGGGAATTCGTAGCGAAAATTAACTTGTACGACGCCGCCTCGCGACGCCCGTCGCGAGGATCGCGAGGATGTCGTGGAGGAGGTTCGCCGCGGCCAGGGACGTCATGTCCGCGGCGTCGAAGGGCGGCGCGACCTCGACGAGGTCCGCGGCGACGACGTCCAGTGCGCCTTGCTCCGCCGCGCCCAGCAGCGCCCGCAGGATCTGCTGGGCCTCGCGCGTCGCGAGCCCGCCGGCCTCCGGCGTGCCCGTGCCCGGCGCGAAGGCCGGGTCGAGCACGTCGATGTCGAAGGACAGATAGGCCGGTCCCGCGACGACCGCCGCGACCTTCGCCGCGAGCGCCGTGATGCCAGTCGCACCTTTCCTCACATAGTCCTCAACAAGTTCGTCCATGGGAATCACCGTCATGCCCGACCTGTGTGCAAATCAAATCTTCAATCCGACTTCAATGTGCGCGTATTCCTTCCAAAAATCATCCGAATCCACTTCGATTTGACCGAGCTAGAGAATTTCAAAGTTTGGTCGGGACGTCCCAAACCAGTGGTTGATTTCCACACAGGCGACGACGCCGTCGAAAACGCCCAGGCGTCCGGCGCGGCCAGCGTGCCCCTGATCCCGAGCTGGACGCAGCGCTTCGGGTCCAGCAGCCCCTCGTCGACGGCGATCTTGAAGGGCGCGCCGTGGTGGAACCGCGAGCCCAGGTAGTCGTCGCCCGTGTCGCAGTGCGCGTCCAGGTGCACGAGACCCAGCGGCTCGCCGCCGCGCGCGTGCACGATGCCCCGCAGGATCGGCAGCGTCACGCTGTGGTCGCCGCGACGGCGAGCGTCGCGACGTCTCGAAACTTCGTATCCCGGAACGCGGCCTCGATCTCGCCGTGCGCGCCCTCCAGCTCGTAGGGCCGTTGGACCGCGACGTCGCCGCCGTCGACGCAGGCCGCGAGCTCCAGGGGGCTCCGGCCGCGCGTCAGGGGTCGCACGTGGTCCGCGGACGCCTCGCGGACGCGCCGCGGGCCGTGGCGCGCGCCGGGCCGGTTCGTGACGCCGCCGTCGAAGGGCACGCCGACGATGGCGATGTCGGCCTCCGTCTCCCGCCAGGGCTCGTATTTGCAGCGAAAAAAAGTCGCCGGACCGCTGGCGTAGCGCGGCGTCGCGTTGGGCAGCGCGAGCGCCGGCGGCTGCGCGCCGTAGGGACCCGTCGCGAAGCATGCGCGCATGCCTGGGAGCCAGGACTGGCGTGCGCGCATTCCCGGGAGCCAGGACCGGCGCGCAGACCGCCACGCGAGCGCGGCGCGACGCGCGGGCCGATGGAGCATCGTTGGCCGCGTCGGGCAGCCCGTTGGACCGGACGTGAAGTCGCAGCCTTTTGGGTGGCCGCGCCACATCATGTTTAGCGATTATCAACATCGACATCTCGCGGTCGCGGCCTCAAAAAAGCGGACCCGCTGCCACCGCGCGCGACAGGGCGCCGTTCGTTCGGCCGCGCGCGGGCCCCGCGCGCGTCGACCATGGCGACCTACGAGCGGCGCCAGGGCAAGTGGACGACCCAGGAGTGCGACTACGCCATGCTCCTCATCGAGCACTTCACGTCCGGGTCGCTGCCCGGCCTGCTCGGGGGCGAGTCGCTGCGGAGCACGCTGAGCGAGTGCCTCATGTGCACGCCCATGCGCGTGACCAAGAAGCTGTCGTCGACGCACGCCATCGGCAAGTGCTGCTTCAAGAAGAAGGGCGACCTCGGCCCGGGTGACCGCGCGGCGCTCGACGCCGCGCGGCTCGCGTTCCTCGCGTCGGTCGAGAAGCCCGGGCGGCCCGCGGCGGCGCCGCCGGGCGAGAGCGGCCGCGTCACGCGCGGCACGTCGGGCGCGATCCAGCGCAAGCGGTCGCGGGACCTCGACGGCGACGACGGCGAGCCGGGCTGGCTCGAGTCGCTCGCCGGCGGCAGCTGGCTCGCGGAGCCCGAGGTCGAAACGCCCGCGGCGTTGCCGGGCCTGCCGAGAGCCCACGAGGAGAGCGGCGCCGTCGAGACGTCCGTGCTCGCCCACGTCACCGACGAGGGCCGCACGGCCGTGCGCATCGTCGTCGCGGACCGGCCGGGCCTGCTGGGAGAGATGAGCCGCTTCTTCCAGCGCAAGAACCTGAGCGTCGTCGGCTGCCGCTGCGAGACGCTGCCCGGCAGCGTCGCCCACGACGAGTTCGATGTCGTCGACACGCACTCGCGGCGGCCCGTCGTCGACGCCGAGGACCTGGAGCTCCTCGAGGAGGCGGTGCTCGAGTGCCTCGCGGCGTCCGAGCGCCACTTCTCCGGCGCGACGACGCTCAACGTGTCCCTCCCGGACCGGCCGGGCCTGCTCAAGCAGATCACGGAGACGCTGGGGTCCCTGCGGCTGTCCATCGTCGGCGCGAAGATCTCGACCGTCGCGCGCGGCCGCGACTCGCCCGAGGACGCGGGCCTCCCCAAGACGGCCGTCGACACCTTCGACGTCGTCGACGCGGAGACGGGCGGGCCCGTGCTCGACCCGAACCGGCTCCGCGAGATCGAGCGGCGCCTCGCCCTCGATTTGGAGACGGACGAGTCCGCGAGCGGCGCGTCGTCGCTCGGCTCGAACTCGCCGCGCCTCGAGATCTTCGCGGACGGCTCGCCGCCGCGGTCCCGGTCCATCTCCGCCGAGAACTCCGTGAGCCGCCACAGCGACGAGGGCGTCAATTCCTGCGCCTCCTCGGAGCTCGCGTTCGCGGCCCCCGAGCGCATGGACCTCGCGGCGCCGGAGATCCCGGCGGCCTACTAGGCCGCCGCCCAATTCGAAGACCCACTGCTGTGCCTGTGGTTTCTTGTTTTCAACTGGCATGTTGTTGCCCCCTTTGTGCTCGACGCGGCGGTCCCGTGAACATATCCCGCCGGCGGCGCGGTCCCGTGAACATATCCCGCCGCCGGCGGGATACGTCACCGGCCGCCCCCCAAAACGCGAGGCCCCGCCTGTGCAGCGTCCGCCGCGTCCGCGATAGTCCCCCCCCCCCTTTGCCCTTTGTAACATACTACAAGTAGATGCGACGCACCGCGACGCGCCGCGAACGCCGCCCGATAAGATGCCCTATCGACTTAGGCCCTACCGCGCCTTCGCGAGCGCGTCCCGGGCCTTGGCCAGGATGAGCGCGTACCAGTAGACGTTGATGAGCAGGTGCGCGACGCAGAGCAGCGAGAGCCCCGCGACGACGAGCACGCGGCCGTCGGCGACGAGGTAGCCGACGCGCCACAGGTCCCGCCAGGACCGCGCGACGTGCCCCACGACGAAGAGCGTCCAGCCGATGCGGCACGCGCCGTAGGTCGCGACGAGGCAGACGCCGTTGGCGACGTAGGCCGCGGACGGCCCCGCCTTCGGGTCCGCGAATTTGAGCAGGGACCGCAGGTTCAGGAACGGCGTCGACGCCTCGTTGAAGATGAGGCAGGCCATGTAGCGCGTCGCGAGTCGCGTCCGAACCCCCGCGGCGAAGGCGACGAGCACGACGACGTGGTGCGCGAGGACGACGGGGTCGTCGAAGCCGCCGGCGCCGTTCCGCTTCGAAGCGCCCCGGGGCCGCCGCAAGAACGCGAGGCAGCAGAGCCACGCGTCGACCGCCAAATAGCCGCAGAGCGCGACGAGCCAGCGGTCCCGCCCGCAGGACGCGACGAGCGTCGCGTCGTAGGACGACGTCTCGAAGAGGCTTGGTTCCGCCCGCGCGCAGAACGCGCCGTAGCCGCCGGCGACGTAGACCGCGTTCAAGGTAGAGACCACGCGCGAGTCCCAGTCGTCGCGGCCCGCGCGCTCCGCGGGCCGGCCGCACCAGGCCGGCGCCCAGCGGTCCGCGGCAGCGCGCGTGCCCAGCAGGAGCCCCGCCGTCGCCGCCATGGACAGCGCGAGGTCGCGCGCGTAGGTCGACGGCGCGCAGGCGCGGCTCGGCTCCGCCGCCAGGCGCGCTGCGATGACCGCGGCCTCCTCCCACGTCGACGCCATGCGTGTTTTCTTGCGTCTTCGTCAGCGTTCGTCGATCCGTCGATCAGCGCTCGAGCTCCACTGGCCGTCGACAAGGCCGCGGCGCGATCATGCTCGAGTGATCGATGACATCGGCTACTGTAGTAGGCAAAGGTGAAGTCAATTACGGCTCGTCAAGGCAGCCCGCGACGATCTCCCGCGACGATGGTGCCGCTAGATCCCTTCGCAGCGCCTCCGTAAGCCATCGCGATGCGCATCGCCGTCGCGCTCTGGTTCGCGCTCTGCCGCGCCGTGACCTGGGACGACGGCGTGCGCCAGTGCGACGGGTCGTCCTGCGCCGCGCGGGACGCGATCCCGACGGCCGTCGTCCGGACGTCGAGCGGCGCCTGCGCGTCGTCGGCGCACCTGGCGCGGGCGCGCGAGGCGAAGCGCGCGAAGCACGAGGTGCACGGCGCGCTGGCCTGGCTCGTCGCGGCGGCGCGCGCGGACCGCGACGCGGGCTGCCGGGCGGCGGCCGAGACGGCGCTCGCGGGAGAGCTCCTCGCGCTGGGCCAGTTCGCCAACGCCGCGCGCGCCGCGCGCACGGCGGCGGCGCTCGCGCCCGGCGGCGGCGCGCGCGACGCGGCGCTCGCGGCGCTCGCCGCGGCGCAGGACGGCCTCGCGGCCGCGCGGCGCGCCGGCGCGCGCGCGGCGCTCGCGGTCGCGTCGCCCGTCGCCGGCGCGACCTACGCGCGGTCGCGCGCGATCGACGTCGAGGCGTCGACGGCGCGGCTCGCGGCGCCCGGCGACGCGGCCGTGCGCGTCTGCGCCTACGTCGACCGCGCGGCGCTCGTGAGCTGCGCGGCGCGCGGCGCGGAGCTCCGGGGCCTCGAGCCGGGCCGCCACGAGCTCACGGCCGTCGCCGTCGGTCTCCCGAGCGGCGCCGCGGTGGCGAATATCACGGTCGAGTTCTGGGTCGCGGACGAC